ACACACACACTCAGTCCCTCAGGTTAAAATCTTGGAGTTATCTTAGATATATATTTCTCCTCTGCCCCTCCAAGTTGATCAGATACCAAATTCTGCAGATTAGATACTTCCTCTCCTACTAGACCCACCATCATCATCAAAGTGGTTAAAACTGTAGGCAACTCAAACTTGGGTTTCTGTCCTGGCTTTGAAGCTTGCTTTCCCATTTCATTTCTTTCAACAATAAAACAATAGCTTCCATTATGCTTTCCTATTAACTGTTTTCCTTTTGTCTTATATATCAAAGTCTAAACTCAGCTACTCACCTTATAAGAATTCAATTCAATTCCTTTGCAACCCAACTTCATTTGCCACATCAGCAAGAATGGTTTTCTGTTGATTCTCACAACTCACTATGGTGTCTGTTTATGGTTTTGTAGCTTTTGAACTGTGTACTGTTCCACTTCTCTGCTGAGACCTATTCAATTCACTGTTTGAGGCCTAACTCAAGAATAACATCATCAATGACATGAAGGACCATGCTCTCTCCTCTAACATTTCTCCCTTCCTAGATTTACTAAGTATTTAATATGCTAATTCTATACTTCATAGTCTAGCACTTACTATGTCAAAACATACCACTGACTTATTCATGTGTTCCCTTGAAAAGCTTTTTGTTTATCCTAGAGCATCTATAAAGTAGCAATTATTAAGCAGCATGCTGCGACTTAATTGGAGAGTTGAAAAATTGTAAATCTAAACTTATGATATTGTAAGAGGTGAGCAAACTTTTTCTGTAAAGGGCTTTGCAGGTCACATATAATCTCTGTCTCATCTTTTTTTCCAGCCACTGAAATTTAGTAAAAATCATTCTTAGCTTGAGGGTCATACATAAACAGACCATGAATCAGATTTGGTCCACAGGTCACAGTTTGCCAACGTATTATGGCTCCTCCAAGGAGCAGTTATATGTTTTATAAAGGGTCTCTATACAGTTATGCATTTTATAACATTTAAGTAAATTTTTAAAAAACATTGTTCAAGCATTTTAAATGACTTTCAAACTCCAAAATAAAACAAATAAGCCCTGAGTTCTTACCAGCTTTCTCAGACTTTTCTTTCTGTTCTCGTAATTCCTCTCCCTGAGTAGTCATCTGTTTGATGCGGGTACGGAGTTGAGCGATTTCTTCTTCTTTCATTTCCAGGGTTTCATGCATCTGACGTTTAGTCTCTGCTATTACCATTCCCTGAACACAAGTGCAGACTCCATGAACATTTGCATGTCAAACCTGCATCATTTGTATCACATATCAAACTTACTTTAAAGACAGAGAAAACACTGTTAAGAATTATTTCAGTATTCCATAAACTATATTCTGCTCTATATACACTAAAATAACCTTCATTACTTGGCATGGTATTATGATTGTTTTTTTATATTAAAAATGTTTTATACTAAGATTAATAACATATTTTAGTTTAAAGGTTTATTTTACAATTCTACAAATGTATTATAATTTTCCTTATCTTAGTAAACAGTTTATAATGAATAAAATATAAACGCTTGCACTTGACTCAGGGTTCTCATGAACTACCACAGCTGGTCGGTGGTGTAGCACAGGATAGCCCCAGGAGCTGTCGGAGTGTAAGGTGACCGCTGTCACAGTGAATGGACAATGACTGTGAAACAGATCTACCTGGTTTTTCTCCCTTCTCCTGTGACCATCTCTGGTCCCACCACTACTACTTAATAATGTCAGTAAAGCTCTCTCATTCCTCTCATCTGCTAGTTGCTACTGTCTTCCCTCTCTCCGAATAAGCAAAACTAGAAATGAATGTCACTAGGGGAAAAAAGATGACTAAATATTACACATTAAATCAGTCATCTGTGACTTACCAAAAAATGGGAAGATTTGAATGGTCTCTTAAACAATAAAATATTTACACTTTGTGACATACCTTGAGAAGTGGACTACCTTATATTCAGCATTTGTGGACCTTTGATTTATAGTTTGACTCTTCCATGTGACTAATATTACTAGACAGATAACAACCAGGAAAGCAGGACATTGTTATATAAAATCTAAAAAGAAAACCATGGGCCTTCAGTTTCTTCAACATCAAAAAATCACAAAGGTAAGAGAGACAGAGACACAGAGAGAAAGTAAAGGAGAGAAGGTAGTCGAAATTATAGATTAAAAGAAGTCGTAAGAGTCAAATTGACCAGTTGCAATGAAAGACTCTTATTTGGAAAAAATATACTACACAAGAGGGAAAATCTGAAACTGACTACATACTTGATCATCTTAAGGAATTCCAGTTAATTTTTTATATGAACATGATAATGTGGTCCTGCTTTATTTTACAGATGCACTAAAACACTGACAGAAGAAACAATTCAATTTCTTGGATTTACTCTCCTGGGTTAAGATTTACAGTCCTGAGTTAAGAAAGATAATGGGAGTCGGGGCTATACAGATAGAATAAGGAAGTAACTACTGAAGCTGGGTAAAAGGTTCACAGGAATTCAGTTTACTAATTTCACCTACTTTTTTAACTGGGTTGGGTTTTTTTTCCCAATAATAAAAAAAACTTAAAGTGACTTTAAGAAGTTTGTAAAGTAGTAAACAATCGCAAAAATAAAAAATATATAGAAACAATGACTAGATTGCCAACAGTTCATTTTAATAGTAAAATACCTCTGGCATGTGCTTGAACATGTACATGTTCACTTAGAACAATGTGGTATAAAGCAGTGTATTATACAGGAAACGGTGGGTGGTGTAGGACTAACTGGAAGCTGCTTAGACATATGTCAGAACTACTTGCTTGTGAATTTTCCAGTGGTCTTTGCTGCAGTGTCTGTATGTGCTACTTCAACTCTAAACTTAAGGATAAAACTCATCCTTTACTCAATCCTCCAATCTCATCTACAGATTGGAAATTTCATTTATAGAAATGTGTTTATGCTAATATACACATTATCATTTCTTTACTTTTTAAGCAACTTTTCTGAATGATACTAGTTTTCTACTATTAGAGAAACTTCATCTGTTTCTATTTGAAAGAACATCTACTATTCACATTTAGCAAAGTTTTGACTATAAATAATTTAACTTTTCTCTGGAGTCATTATGTACTATAAATATGAATACCTTTGCAGCAGTTACTAATCTAGTTATATAAATCTAGAAATTAGGGTAAAAATATTTTTCATGAAAACAACTGCAATAGTTTTTGGAAACAGGAGCTTGAATGCTTCCAACTGCTTTTAAAAGTCACTTTTTGGGCCCTCTGACAACTTTTAGTACGTTTTTTTGGTTGTTATTCTTTTACCTTATCTTGTTCAAGCTGTTCAATTAAGTTCTTTGCATCACGCAACTGAGTGATAAGTTTAGTCTTCTCAGCCATATGAAGCTCCTAAAAAAATTTTAAAAATTCATTTCCATCTCTAATAAAGCTTCTGCTCTTAAGAGAATTCTAAACATATTATCTAATTTAGATTGGTCTGACAGTCTAGTAGAAGAGAAAAATACACAGAAAGTCTTAAAAGTAAGGGAAACACTATGAAGAGAGGAAGAAAGCCCAGAGCACTCTGGAGCCCCAACAAGATCACCTTCTCAGTCTACAGGGGATGGGGAAAGGTTTCTCTGAGGAGGGGCAAGCTGTGCTGGAGCCCTGGAAACTAGATTTACAGGGCTAAATTAGAACAATATTCATTTGTTGTTTTACCTTCATCTTTTCTAGTTCTTGGAGTCTCTCATCTAATTGTTCTTGGAGTGCTTCTTTTTCATTTGTTAATAGTGTACATTGTTCCTTATGCGACTGAATTGTTTCTTTGCACCGCTGAAGAAGATTCTCTTGCCTCTTAACTCTTTGCTGAAGTGTTTCCAATGTTTTAGAAGAAACTCCATCTCCCACTCCTAACAATAAAGCAGCATAAGCAGTTGAAGGCAGTCAGAAAGGAACTGGAGGGATCCCTGGGAACAGCCTGCTAGTATACAGCAGTACCATCTATCTTAACACTCGGCCATGCTCTGAGCCATATTAAGAGAAAAGAGAATCCTGGCCAGCTCAGAACTGGGCACCCTTCCAAACCTCTACCCTCACATTTGCTTATCTTTATCCAAAGAAGAAACCGGGTAAGGAACTCACTTTTTCTGAGGTCCACCTCATCCCAAATAGCAAAAAACACTCAGTAGTTCACTAACATTAACTAAATCAGCAGTCTTTAAAAGACAATGTAATGACCATTGTTTGTCATTTAAAATTATCTTTTGTGTTTTACCTCAGAAGAATTAAGGAAGTGGTCCTTCCAACCACATTCTAATCTCTTCAAGAGAGCACTTCTAATAAATTTTCATTCCCCAGGGGATGTCAGCATCCTGTGTAGATTGGTTGCTTGGGTAGCTAGCTGGTTTAGTTACCTGCTCTAACTCTGACTGGACTACAAGTTCACCATTAATCTCTTTGAGAAAAAGATATGGGAAATTAAAAAGTAGAAATTTTACTGAAAACCTTCTTCAAAATTTCAAGGGATAGATTTTGAGGCAAAATCTAAATATTCCTTCTTTCCCAGTTAAATGGCAAATATTAGGGAAAATACAAGAGGGCTTCAAAAAGTTCATGGAAAAAGAGAATTGAAAAATAATATAATTTTTCCAGAAATTTTCGGAAGCCCCCTCATACAACAACCTTTAATGTAGAAATATGCTAGTATTATTGAAAACTAAATATAAGAATAATTTAAACTACCATATTGAATAATCTAGGACAGAACCGGCCTGTTTATATGGACTCTCACTACTGCTATCAAACAGTCTAACATAGCAAATTCATTTCAGTGACAATGAAAATGTGGGATGCCTCACCAGCTGTAAAGCAGTCTTACTTAGCAGACTTGAAGCAGACTAACACCACCATCTTGTTGGAACTGTTGAGCCCCAACACTCTACTTCTCTATCAGCCGTTCCATCAGCTCAAGCCCAAGGTGCTCTCAACAACCTCCATGAGCGTTTAAGTGAAATTTTGACAAGATGCAGCTTACCTACTGGCTCAATGTTACTCTCTGCATTCTCTTCTTTAGTGACACCTTCAGTCTGTGACTCCATCAAAAGCGGTGGTTTAGGTAAATCAGCGTTCATTGGGCCATTTTGTAACCGATGTTTTAGGAGAGAAACCTAAAGAAAATGTGATTTTCATTAAAAAAAATTATGAGACACTACACACTGGTACTTTGTTTAAAACAGGGTATATACAGCATAAATGATGTCCTTTTTGCTACAGTGTAGAAAAGAAATTCTTTTTAATCCCTAAGCAACTGGTTTTTATAGTTGCTATTAGATACAATAAATCAAAAGTTATTATTAAAACTGTGGGATGACATTAAGAATATTATACATGAAGGAAGCAATAAGTCATTGAGAAGACAAGAAAGAAGGAAAAGATCAAAATGGATGTCAGAAGAGACACTAAAACTTGCTCTCCAGCATACAGATGCTAAAGCAAATGGAAGGAATGAAGAGGTCCAAGAGCTGAACAGAAAATTTCAAAGATCAACTCGAGAAGATAAAGACAAATATTACAACAAAATATGCAAAGATCTGGAATCAGAAAACCAAAAAGGAAGAACACACTCAGCATTTCTCAAGCTGAGGGAACTGAAGAAAAAATTCAAGCCTTGACTTTCATTATTGAAAGATTCTCTGGACAAATTACTGAATGATGCAGAAAGCATCAAGAAAAATGGAAGGAATAAACAGTCATTGTACCCAAAGGAAATGCTTAATGTTCAACCGTTTCAAGAGGTAGCATATGATCAAGAGCCAATGACACTGAAGGAGGAAGTCCAAGGTGTATTGAAGGAATTGGCGAAGAATAAGGCACCAGGAACTGATGGAATAAAAATTCAAATCTTTCAAGAAAGTGAGGCGGCAGAGGAAGCACTCACTCATCTCTGCCAAAAAATTTGGAAGACAACTATCTGGCTGACTGATTGGAAAAGATCCATATCTGTGCCCATTCCAAAGAGAGGTGACCCAACAGAATGCTAAAATCATCAGACAAGCTGTTTGATATCCCATGAGAGTAAAGTTTTACTAAAAGTAATGCAGAAACGACTGCAAGCATACATCGACAGAGAACTTCCAGAGGTTGAAGCCGGATTCAGAAGAGGCCGTGGACCAAGGGCTATTATTGCTGATATCTGATGGATCTTGGTTGAAAGCAGAGAATATCAGAAAGATGTTTTCCTGTGCTTTATTGACCACGCAAAGGCTTTCAATTGTGTGAGTCTTGATAAGCTATGGACAACATTGTGAAGGATGAGTATTCCGGAACACTTAATTGTGCTCATGAGGAATCTGTACCTGGACCAAGAGGCAAGTGTTCAAACAGAACATGGGAACACTGAATGTTTCAAAATTAAGAAAGGTATGCAACAAGGTTGTATTCTTTCACCATACTTATTCAACCTGTATGCTGAGCAACTAATCCAATAAAATGGGTTCTATGAAAAAAAACACTGCATCAGAATAGGATGAAGACTCATTAACAACCTGCGATATGCAGATGATACAAACTTGATTGATGAAGGTGAAGAGGACTTAAAATATTTACTGATGAAGATCAAAGAGCACAGCCTTCGGTATGGATTACATCTCAATGTCAAGAAAACAAAAATCTTTACCACTGGACCAATAAACAACATTCTTATCCACAAAGAAAAGATTGAAGTTGTCAAGGACTTCATTCTTCTTGGATCAACTATCAACACCCACGGAAGCAGCAGTCAAGAAATCAAACGAAGTATTGCATTAGGCAAATCTGCTGCACAAGACCTTTATAAAGTGTTGAAGAGCAAAGATGTCAGCTTGAGGACTAAGGTGCACCTGACCCAAGCCATGGTATTTTCAATCACCTCATATGCATGCAAAAGCTGGACAGTGAATAAGGAATAGAAGAACTGATGCATTTGAGTTATGGTGTTGGAGGAGAATATTGAAAGTGCTATGGGCTGCCAAAAGAACCAATAGATCTGTTTTGGAAGTGCAGCCAGAGTGTTCCTTGGAGGCCAGGTAGTCCAAACTTCATCTCTCATACTTGGGACATATTATTAGGAGAGAAGGATATCATGTTTGGTAAGGTGGAGGGTCAGAGAATGAGAGGAAAATCCCCAGGGAGATAGCGAGATGGATTGGCCAAGTGGCAGCACTGATGGTTAAGTGTGGCAACAGCAGTGAAGTTGGCCCAGGATCAGGCAGTGTTTCGTTCTGCTGTGACCTTTTGTCACTATGAATCGGTACCAACTCGATGGCATCAAACAACAACAACAAAAATTCCATACTTTTTCTCCTCTACCTGAGTCTGAAGAACACTGATATACTGATCTTTTTCCTCTAAAGATGCATCAAACTCCTCCTGGAGATGTTTCTTTGCTTGCTGATCCATTTGAAGTTCCTAAAACATAAAGAATTGTATAACAAAAAATATAAAATTGAAGCTTACAAAGTTTAAGAATAAAAATCAATATCAGATTTGCATTTTTATAGTCTCAGCAACTATTAATAAAATAATAAACTGCATCTAAAACATAAAAATAGGTAATTTTTTCCTTAAAGAATATGAAGTTCTAAGAAGAAAACGAATGTATTTTCTGTTGCTATAATTTCTACTACATTTCTATGAAAGTGGAGAGAATAAAAATTAATTATACTGAAGTTTTGTAAAGTTATTCTACTGAGACATCTTACTACTTTTGATATCTTTTATTCGCTTACTCATACACTAAATTGTTATAAGCCAAACAGATACTAATAGCCAAAATCACAAGCTTCCTCATCTGTAAAATGATGACTGAACCAGTCAATCTCTAAACAATAAAATTTCAAGCTCCTGAAATTACTTAAAATGATACCTTTTTTCCTTTTCTTTTTAGGTTGTTAATGAGGTTTCCCAGCTAAATCCATTGATCTTTACCTCTGTGCTAGGCCAGTCACCAACATTTACCTCCTCTATTCTATATGTTTACTACGAGTTGAAATCAACATAATGTTGGTATTTTTTAGAGGGTGGGAGGAAGTTGGTTTATTCTTGAGACACTTGATTTCTTTAGTTTGGGGGCTCCTAGTTATATACTGCCATCCCTTACAGTTCCCTCACTGCCCTTCACTGATTCTATCGGCATCTATTCCTTTGAGCTCAGACCTGTGTTCTCTGTGATCTACCTAAATACTACTTCTACAGAATACTAGCAACTAATATCAAGACTACGTTAGATAGCCCATTAAAATCCCTCCATTTTTCTCCCCCAGGATCCCTAACTTTCTAACTGCCTAACTCCAAAATGGAGTGTGGTACAAACCACAGGATTAGCAGTTCAAGCCCACTGGTCACTCTGTGAGGGGGAAAAAAAAAGAAAGAGGCTTTCTGCTCACCCAAAGATTTACAGCCTAAGAAAATGTATTCAGGTTTGCTATGAGTGAGGATCAACTCAACAGCACTTAATAATCACCATTATAAAATATTCAAAGTCACATTTTACTCACCTACCTTTGTTGAATCCTCCATATAATCAAATTCTTTTTATCATTTTCTAATAGTTTAGTCCTTTTTCCACAACTATAATCATATGCCAGGCCCAAAATTTTAAATGCCTAATTTCCTTCAATAGCCTTCTAAGAGAGATTTCTAACCTCAAGTTTTCCTCTGCTTTAATCATGCTTCACACATTTTCTAGAACAACTTTCATCAAGCAATATTTTCAAGGACTTACAGAAACTCCCTCTTCTTATAGTGTTTCAAATTTCTAATTCCCAAAAAACCTGAAGGTTTTAGCACTAACTGTCCTCGTCACCACACCCACGCTGCCCCATGATCTCTAAGAACATTCTTTACTGCATCCTTCACTAAAGCCTCCTGGCTCAGTCTCCTTCCATAGTGTAGTGGTCTCTAGATCAGGACATGACCAGAGCGAAGTTTTCACTGATTCATGGTAAAGTAAAGTAAGAACCAGAAGAACAAAATAGAGCGTTTATATGAGATACAAATTTATTTCATTTAAATAACTGTATTGTATTCTGAGAACGTATCTTTACTAAAACGTTTGGAATTAAAGTAACCTTTCATGTAATAATGACAATAAAAGTAAAAGTTAGCAGCCGTATTTCTGGAAGAAAGGTTTTGGTCCATAAAATCAAAAAGTCCATAAAAACACTGCCTTCCATTCAATAACTTCATGCCTTTGTAAAATCCATTGTTTAGCCTACAATAGCTCTGCACATCTTAACAACAATCCAGAACTTTCACTTTCTTCTAAGTAATTTTCCACATTGTAACATACTGAATTGGTAAACCTAACAGCCCACAAAAAACTCCTCTATATTACAGTTTCCAGGGTTTGCAGGTTTTCATTTCCGAAACTAGACAAGAAGTCCCTGGATATGAGGGCAGTATCTTTTAATCACAGCCCCTTACCCTTCCTGTACACTATTCTGTCAATACCATGTCACGTCAATTTCAACTCATAGAGATGCCATGTGCTACAGAGCTGAACTGGCTCCATTGGTTTTTCTTGGCTGTAATCTTTACAAAAGTAGATCTGCAAGTCTTTCTTCCACGGCACTGCTGGGTGGGTTCAAAGTACCAATTGTTACTCTATTGGCTAATGGCAAACTGTTCACCCCACCCTAGGACCTCTATTCTGCCCATAAACACTCTTTTATAAAGACTCCTGGTGCAGTGCTGTAGGATAAGCATTGGACTGGTAACTGCAAGGTAAGTCATTCAAAACCAGCTGCTCCTTGGAAAGATTATACGGGGTCACTATGAGTTGGAACCAACTTGACAGCACTCAACAAAAACAACAATCAATAATCACTACAGCTCCTTATTCCATGTGATACCACTTCCACACTCTGAAGTCACTCACACCAAAACCTTATTCATCCACCAACAAACCTAATCTTCTCCCACTGTTGTCCATCTCGGCACACGGCACCACCATTCATTCTGTTGTTCTGGCCAAAACCACAGAGTCAAACTTTAATGACTTTCTCTTTCCCCATGACCAATTATTAGCAAATTATGTTGGCATTATCTTCAAATTAGGCACTGAATCTCACCACTTCCTGGCACTACTGCAAGACTCTTCTGTCTCCGGCTTCCATTCTTATTTCCCCGTAATCTATTCTTCACAGAGCTGCCAGAGTCCCTGAGCAGCCTCCTCTCTAAGGCCTCATTCACTCCTAACCCCTTTATCCTTCCTTTATTTGTCTTCAAAAAGTCTGTGGGAAATTCCATTACCTTTTAATTCCATTTTCCTATGGGCTTTTAAAAACCCCGCCTAGATCTTCATTAGAAAATAAACTTCATTAAACTAGTTTTGTCTTACCTACCCTTGTATAAGGAACTCTGGTAGCACAGTGGTTATGAATCAGGCTGCGAACCTTAAGGTCAGCAGTTTAAAACTACCAGCTGTTCCGTGAGAGAAAGATGAGGCTTTCTGCTCCCGTAAAGATTTACAGCCTCGGAAACCCTGTACAGGGTCGCTTTGAGTCAGAAGTGACTCCACGGCACATAACCACCACCACCCTTGTATATTCCATACCTAGGTATTTAAGGAGTCCTGATGCGGTGCTGTAGGATAAGTACTGGACTGCTAGTCACAAGATTGGCTGTTCAAACCCTATACAGGGTCACTATGAGTCAGAACCAGCTCGATGATACTTACACAACACATATATAAACATAGATACGTTGTTGTTGTTAAGTGCCATTGAACTGGTTCCAAATCATAGCGACCCTATATAGGGTTTCCAAGGAGGGGCTCATGGATTTGAACTGCCAACTTTGCAGTTAGCAGCCCAGTGCTAATCCAGTGCTGAACACCAGGATTCCATATACAAATATAGTAATGACGATTTACAAGCCCTGGCAAAATAAATATTTGTTGACCAAATAATGAGACTCCCTAAAGGTCAGCGGTTCGAAACTACCAGCCGCTCCGCAGGAGAAAGATGAGGCTTTCTACTCCCGTAAAGATTTACACCCTCGGAAACCCTGTACAGGGTCGCTATGGGTCGGACCCGACTCAACGGCACTTAACAACAACAACAACAACAACAACAACAACAACAACAACAATCTTCTAAAGTCACACATCCCCACAGCTTGCCCAATTACTCCTAAGAAGACATGATATCTACCCCGTCATCATTCTGGTCATTTTATTTTGAAGACATTCCAACAACTTGAAAAAATACTCTTTTAAAGAAAGAAAGAAAAGTGGTACCAAGGTCTAAGTCTAAAGTCCAATCTTAAATTTTGTTATATTTCTGAGGGTGAGAAAAACAAAAATGCATGTTAGCTACACAGGTATTTTTTAAAATGTTTAAGATTTACTAGCATCTGATTATCTGACAGTTTATATACCAACTTCAATTATATAAATTATTTTATCAAAATATAAGCCTATATGAAAGAACACACAAGAACTTATTGCTGAGGGTTTTCTCTGGAGAGAAGTCAGGTCTGATTAGGAAAGTGAGACTTACCTTCAATATTCATTTTTCTATATACTGTTTGAACATTTTTAGCACAATAAAAACAAATGACTCTAAAAGACTGCATTTTAGAAATTCAACAACTAATTCAAAAATTTTCTTACTGTTGAACATTTAGATTGCTTCCAAATTTTTGCAAACTGTAATTAACATTTTCATATATAGGTTTTTGCAAGGTCTTTTCTGAGCAGAAAATTCTGATAACTGGAATGTATCTAACAGTTTTATTTATTACTTTTGATGTCAGTCCTATGCTATCTATTATGGTCACTGGTGATTTCAGGCTGTAAAATAGGAACTCTCCTTCCCTGGAAGAAACTTTGAGAACAGCAACTACCTCTAAAGAACTGCATTTTCCCAAGGTGAGCCTAGGGAAAGAACAAGTTATGCGTGGAGCCCTGGTGCCTCAGTGGTTTCAACCCACCAGTCACTCTGGAGGAGAAAGATGTGGTAGTCTCCTTCCATACAGATTTAGCCCTTGGAAGAGGTAGTTCTACTCTGTCCTGAAGGGTTCCTATTATTCGGAACCAACTTGATGACAATGGGCTTAGTTTGGGTTTATGCGTGGACAGGACAGGGAAAGGAAATATCCTGCTACAATGACTTAATTTACTTACCATTTAACTGACTTAACATGTTATCAGAGAACCCTATCTACTTAGATGAGTTCATAATTTGTAATGTTTTCTTCACAGTATGAAATTTCTGTTTATTATCTGTCTTTAAAGAGTCAAGATCAAACAAAGAGAATTACACATACCTGTTGAAAATTATTTTGCCTACTACTTTTAACTTTAAATTTTATTTCTCTAGAGAGAAATATCTAAAACAAGAGGGCTTCCAAAAGTTCATGGAAAAATTCCATTATCTTTTAATTCTATGCAAACTTTATGAAGTCTCCTGGTCTCTAATATGCTAGATATTTACAAAAGACATAACATTTACACATACAGAGCTATAGCTTGCTTTGTTTCTGCCCTCCAGAAAATGCTAGGACAGGTGTTCATGGACTTTATTTATGCACAATGCATAACCATGGGGGGGGGGGGGAATAAAAAACTACAAGTATTTCCTGCAAATCTTAATACAGCAAAATAAATTAGTGCCATTGAGTCAGTTACTACTCCCAGGGACCCAATGTAGGGTTTTCAAGAAGTGTCTGGTGGGTCTGAACTGCTAATCACAGTGCTAATTCTACAGCCCCACACCAGGACCCTTGACCACATATTTTGATGATGCTGTTGTTACGTGTTGTCGAGTAAGCGCCAACTCACAATCCTATGCAGAACAGAACAAAACAGCGCCTGGTCCTGCGCCATCCTCTCAATTTTTGTTACACTTGAGCACATTGCTGCTGCCACTGTGCCAATTCATCAGTTTGGGGGTCTTCCTCCTTTTTGCTGACCCTCCACTTTACCAAACATGGTGTCTTTCTCCAGGAACTGGTGCCTCCTGGTAATATATCCAAAGTATGAGAGACAAGCTTTCTCCATTCTCACTTCTAAGGAGCACTCTGGTTGTACTTTTTCCAACACAAATTTGTTTGTTCTTCTGGTAGTACACAGTGCTTTTAATATTCTTCTCGAACACCACAACTCACATGCATCAGTTCTTCTACAGTCTTCTCTTATGCACTGTCACACTCTCACATATGAGGCTATTGAAATTACCACAGCTTGAGTCAGGCACACCTTAATCCTCAAACTGTTATCTTTGCTAACACATATTTTGGAGGAACAAAATTCAACCTGTAACATTCCACCCTTTGACCCTCCATAATTCATGTTCTTCCTAAACACACAGAACACATTTACCCCATCACATCATCCCAAAAGTCTTAATCAAGTCTTAATCTAAAATATCATCTTCTGAATCATCTGAATTAAATAAGAGTGCAAATTTAAGCATAATGTATCCTGGGACAAAATTTCTCTTCATCTAAGAGCATATGGAATCTAAATTTTAAGTTTGCTATTTCCAAAATATGAAGGGGCTTCAAAACGTTCCATGCAAAAATTCCACTATCTTTTAATTTCATTTTTACATGAATTTTTTGAAGATTCCTCAAATAATGATGGAATCACACAAGGCAGACATGTCCACTATGAATGGGCTAAACTAAGGGGAAAGAAGTAGTATCAAGCACCAAGCAAGTCCAAAACCTAACAAAACAATTTACATTAGCTCTCAAGGCTTGAAAATAATCCTCTGTTCTCTGAAACCATCTATGCCTGCTCCTGCCATCCAGTGTCTGGGTCTTCACACACACCCTGGATTCTGGAAAGAGGCCCCTAGACCTGGGCTTCAGATCCTCTTTCCAGGCCTACTGAGACAGCAACTTTGTTCTTCCAGCTTTACATAGTCCCATTCTCCTACTCCATCTAAGTGGTGACCCTACCCCAGCAGGCCACATTGTGTTGTCCCTTGGGAATGGCAACCCTAGTCCTCAGCTTTGGGTGTAAACCCTATTGCCCTGGCATCCCTTAATGGAAGCTCCACAATAAGAAATCAAGTTGGAGAAGATTCAACTTTTTGAAACCTAGGAAGCTATGGTCCTGGCCTTTGAGATCCTGAAGACCATGGTCCCACCTTTTGAAGCTGAAAAGGTCCTACTTCCTGTGTGCCTTTCAACAATTCTGCTGATTTCCAAGTCAATTCAGGGATTTTCTTTTTATCAGAGTACACAGAGGTAGTTCATTTGGCCTATTTTCTGTCTGCAGAATTTCAAGAAGCACATAGCATTCTTTCATTCTGGCCTTTCTCTGTCTTTCTCTGTGGGCTAATGTTAATGTGCTCGACTGTAAGGAAGGTTTGAATCACAAGTCAGGGGTTCAAGCTCACCAGAAGCTCCTTGGAAACCCTATACAGGATCACTGTGGGTTGAAACCAACTCCACAGCACGTAACAACAACAACGTAGTTCATTTTTAAGTCCATCTCTTTCCTCTCACATTTTATTACTAGTGTTAAGAAGAATTTATGAGGTTCCTTTACGATCTTGTCAACTGGATATCTAAGCTCATCACTTGTAAATTCTGTCTTCCACCAAACAATTGAACACAATTCAGACACATCTTCTGATACTACATAAATGCATCACCTTCCTCCATTGTCTAATCACATGTTCCTCATTTTCTTTTAAAGCCTCAATAAAGCACATTTAGCATCCACATTTCTACCAACATTCTGTTGCTGGTGCTATGTGTATTCTCTAAGAAGATAGAGACTTCCTCCTAGCTCTCATCACTTCCTTCAGAGCCTTCACAAGAATTGCCTTTTCAGAATAGGTTCTCTTTATAATGTTAATAAGGCAGGATTACTGTAGGGTATGTCTTAAAAAAATTTTTTTAGATAAAAGGGAACTAAATAAAGGAGATTAAAAATAGAGTAAAATAGATGACAAGACACGTGGAGATCTCCAAGAAACCAGGATGCAAAAGCTAAAGAGATAAGAACCTTCCTCCAGAGCTCAAAGAGAAAACCTTCTCCCAGAGCCAGCAATATAAATTTAGACTTCTTGGTGCGATGCTGTAGGATAAACACTGTACTACTAACTGCAAAGTCAGCAGTTCAAACCCAGAAGCTGCTCCATTGAAGTATGAGACTTTCTTCTCTACATATTTATAGCCTCAGAAATTCTATTCCAGACACTATGAGTCAGAATCAACTCAATGACAGTGAGAGGAGCCTCCTAAACTGTGAGAAGCTACATTTCTGTTTATTAAATTTGTGTTATTTCTGTTATAATGGATTGTGGAACTACCGCAGCAATACAACTGTTACAATAACTATGAAATTTAATTATATTCTCAAAGTACTAATCACTAAAACTTACCTCTCTTAATTCTCCAATTCTCCGAAGTGCTTTATCCTGACTCTGACTTAATATACCCTTGATTTAAAAAGAAAGAAAATGCCAGTTGAAAGAACTACATGACAAAATAAAGCAAAGCAAGTTAAATAAAAAATATTATTTAAAAATATTATAGCTGTTTGTGCAAAAATAGCCTAAGGATGGAAAATGGAACTGTAATATGTTACAGATGTGACCATGTGGTAAATTTATTAAAAATTCAACTATATGGGTACAGACCCATTCTATCTCCTGACTGTGATAGCAGCTACAAATATCTGTACATGTGCTGGAGTCCCTGGGTGGTACAAACACTTACTATGCTTGACCGCTAACCAAAAGGCTGGACGTTTCCAAGTCCATCCAGAGGCGCCTGAGAAGAAAGGAATGGTGAAAACTTCCCAAAACTCGGCCATTGAAAAGCCCATGAAGCAAAAGTTCCACACACATGGAGCTGTCATGAGTCGGAGCTGACTCCACAGCAATTGGTCAAGTACTTAATATGTAAATAAAATGAAAAACAAAGGCTTTTCCTAAGGTCTTGATGAATACAGGTTTTTGTTACTTGGTTTCTCTAATACAGCTTTTTAAATCAGAAGACACAAAGCTGAGAACTATAAAAAAAATAACAGTTCAATGGTTACCAGCAATGTGCTCTTAAGTAAAACTTCCAGGAAATAAATCCTGATTCACCTCCTTTTTTCTCATAAACTTTGCAAATCACCCTTCCTCAGTTTTTTCACCTACCTAAACAAAGTGAGGATAGTACTATTTGCTGTCTCACAGAAGAATTGTGAATAAATACACCAAAATGCCTGGCATACCATAAGAGCTCAATATGCTATGGCACTGCAGGATCAGCACAGAACTGCTAACCACAAGGTTGACAGTTCAAACATACAAGCTGCTCCTTGGAAACCCTCTGCAGGGTCACAGGAGTCAGAACCAACTCAAATGCATTTAATAGCAACAACATTACAAACACCATCAGTAAACAGTGTATGGAACACTTATTTTAATTTCATTTGATATATTAAAAAGATGTCTATTTAATAAGGAAGTTTCTACGTATGCATACACACAGAGGCACATATACATGTATAGAAATGGGGCAAATCCTTGAATTTTACTTCCCATTTCCTTTATATTTTGACACTATGAACAATAGTTCTCTATCGCCTCTTAGTGGCAGCATTACTTAAGTACATCTAGAAATAAAATCCACAGATAATTCCAAGAAACACCCACAAAGTATCTATAGAATTTAGAAACAAAAGATCCTTTGAAAATGAATTTACAGAGTGAATTCAATCAATACTACCTTCCATCTCCACAGAAAATTTGATCCAATTTTAAAAATCTTTGTGATAATTTTCACAATTACAATGAAAAAATTATAGAGTACTGAATCAACAAGAACTGATGCTACCACAGTAAATCCATGAGATTCCAGAACAAACCAAGAAACAGAATGTTGTACTTAACAAATGTAAGATTTTTATAGCAGATTAATCATATAACAATAATGATAAATAATGTACGTGAGGAAATTAATCCTACTAAAATTCACTCTACAGGTAACTTTTTGGTTAAGTAATGAGCTTCTTTAAAATGCTAAAGTGTTTTAAATAAGTTTTACTTTACAAAACAAAAAACTATATTTTACAAATAACACAGCAAATTGATGGTACAGTTTGAAGCAAATGGGTATTTCCCCTTAGTTCTTATCATTTGGAGACCTGGTGGGAAACTTCTGGCCATCAGGATATGTAGTTGGGCCAAGGTGAGTTATACAGAAAAAGACATAGTAGCCTGCTATCCCCACATATGGAACCAAGAGCTTTACAAGCAGCAAACTTGGGAAATTGTGATTTTAGAAGAATGGAAACTTGGTTTTGAACTTTGATATAATGACATGAAATAGAGATGTCTGCAGAGATTTATGAAGTAAAAGGGAAAGCACAGAAGGCTGGATGTCCCTTTACCGCTGAAACAAGGAAGGAACCTATAGACCGGGGCACTAGGGAACATGTAAAAGACACAAGCATGCTTTAAATGCAAATCGCTTACACACCATAAGAATCCAAAACTTAAGGAAACGTATCACTAACTGACATACAAGCTGGAGGATCCCTCACTCTCTTTATCAAACCCTCCAGTCATGAAGAAATGGGGTAAAAACACTGATCAGAATTGGACTTACTAAAAGGGAGGTTAAATCTATTTTATTATAAGATTTCCATTTTAAAATTATATATGAATCAACATCATAGCTAATATATCACTTACTTGTAGCTTTTTCTTCTCTCTATGAAGAATCTGATAAGCTGCAACAAGCTAAAATAAAGAAAAAGTTACCAATAAGAAGTTTAGTCATTTTTAAATACTCAATTTCTGAAACATCTTTGTAAAACTTTCTAGAATATCTCTTACTGAAAGTCAAATATAAAGAGTCCTTTCATAGCCAGTTAGACCAAATTAGACAATTCAGATACAGCTGAAACTAAACAGAAAATACATAATGAAAAATAAACTGTAACTTTACTCTATAAATGTTAGTGTTGTTGTTAAGTGCCATCGACTAGTTCTGACCCATAGCGACCCTGTATAGAATTTCCAAAGAGTGGCTAGTGAGCTTGAACCACTGACCTTGCAGTTCAAACTAACTTTGCAGTCCAGGGCATTAAACTGCAAATTAAATTTCTGTTTATATGTGTCACCTTAAACACACGTCTCTTTACATCTCAGTAATCCAATTCATAGGTGGGGATTAGAAGCAATGTGCCCAAAGGCAGGAGGCTACTATAGCTAAACACCACCACCTAGGAGCTTGTTGGAAACAGAAATTCTTGGGCCTCATCCTGGACTTGGAGTCCTCGTGTGGCGCTATGGGTTAATGTGTCAGATTGCAAAGTCGGTTTGAACTGCAAGGTCGGTGGTTCAAATTTACCAGGTGCTCCTCGAAAACCCTACACAGGGTCACTATGGATCGGAACTGACTCCATGGCACTCAACACCACCAACAACAAATCCCAAACTTATTAAATCAAAATTGCGGAGAGGGAAAGGAGAAACCAGAATTTGTTTTAACAAACTCTCCAGATTTTTTACTCTGGGTTGTAACAGACTCTAAAAGTTCCTGCTTTGGGTTGCAATCTCTAAAAGTTCCTCTTAACTATAGGATCTGTAAAAAATCTAAGTACGGGAATTGATAATTAGGAGGTGAAAGATGGTAATTCAGAGCCTAAAGAGATGTTTCACCATTTGACTTAAATAGGATATTAAACATTGTAGCACAATTTTGGATTATGGATTATGAAATCATGGATAAACAAATCCTGTTAACCCTATAAATGAGAAAATACTACTCATCTGAGCCCTAAGCATATGGCTTCAATAAATTAGTTGGCCCCTACTTGAGAAGCAACGCCCTAGTGGCATAATGGGTTACATGCTGGGCTGCTAACCACAGAGTCAGCGGTTTGAACCCACCAGTTCCTCTGATCCCATAAGGATTTGCAGCTTTGGAAACCCTATACCAGGTTGCTGTGAGTCTGAACCAACTCAACAGCATGCAATAACAACTTTAGAAGCAACATAGGTTTCTGAAAGGAGTCCTGGTGGTTCAAGCAGTCAGGATGCAATCAAGAGGTCAGAGGTTCAAACCCACCAATTCCTCTATGGTAGAAAGATGTGGCCACCTGCTTCCTTAAAGTTGTGCAGCCTTGAAAAGCCTATGGGGCATTTCCACTTTGCCCTATATGGTTGCTGAGTTGGAATCAACTCAACAGGAGTGTTTTTATTTGGTTTGGTTGGTTAGAGGGCTCCAAAGGGAGGATACAGTTCTGAAAAGGGATTCTATTTGCCATTCAGTCAATTTCTACTCTTGGCAATCTTGGAGGACAGAATAGAACTGCCCCATTAGGTTTCTAACTCTATAATCTTTACAAAAGCAGACAGCCATGTCTCTCTACTGTGCAGTGTCTGATGGGTTCCAAATGCTGACCTTTCATCACTCAGCAGCTGAGCACATAACCACCATTTGGCCTGGGCTTTTAAAAGGGGAAGTATTTTAAGCCTTGCCATTTTTCTTGGGTGGCTGCTGATCTCTACTGATGTCTTCAGTCAAAAAACAGACAGTAAAGGAACGTGAGGTTAGCAATAGAGATGATAACACTGAAAATGAAATTGTAAGGCCAGGGCCCTCTCCTCAATACCTAAAGCCCAGACAGGAAAATAGTTCTCAACAAAGGGAAAAAGAAGGAGTTAAGATGTCAATCAAATGAAAATCAGATGTCAGTGACAGGACTATTCTTTCCTAGATATCTAGTGTCAAGGAAGGATAAAGACAAATACTAGAGTAACCACATCTGGTCTGTTGACAAAAGTAATGTGGCTACTTTTCATCCACAATTAAACGGTTTGACTCTTTCTGAGGTGCACATAGTAGAAATGCTATAAAGTCAGAATCAAATCCCGACTCTGCCAACTAATACTCGTGTGGCCTTATACATGTTACTTAATCTCCATGAGACTCCATTCCTTAATCTATATAACAGAGCTAATTCATTAACATCCACTTCACTGGATGGTGTAAAAATAAATGGCATTGTAAGTAATGCTGCTGTTAAATACTATGGACTTGGTTCTGACTCATAGTGACCATATATAGGGTTTCCGAGGAGTGGCTGGTGAGATTGAACTGCCAATCTTGCAGTTCAAACCGATCCTGCAGTCCAGAGCATTAACCCACAGCACCAGACCAGGAAATAGTCTAGCAAACTTAAGTATAAATTACAGTACTGCCCCACTTTCAAACCTAAAAGCTACGGGCAAGAAGGTAAAAATAACAAATCTAAATAAGCATATCAATATTAACTTTAGTGAAAATATACATAAATAAAATTTTTAAAGAAAAAAGTTGTCAAATTCTTCAAGTGCCTCAGAGATAAATGGTTTTAACACTCCATTTACATCTCTGAATTCCAGTCTAGTGGTGGATTTTAGTCTAGTAATTCCTTCCTATCTTGTCATGATTTTATAGTTTTAGAAAGATATTTTATCTAGGTTTTGGAACCCTGATGTAGTGCTGTAGAATAAGCACTGGGCTGTTAACCACAAAGTCAGCAGTTCAAACCCACCAGTCGCTCTTCAGAAATCCTACACAGGGTCGCTATGAGTGGGAACAGACTAGAAGGCACTTAACAACAACAACAACAAGCTAGGGTTTTGGTGGTAGTGATTGTTTTTAGCTGTTAGATATACCTAGATGTATTCTGGTCACAGTTTGTACTGTAAGTTATGCCTAACTTTATAAATATCCCTGAACTTTATTGCTCATTAGTTAACTATGACGCAGATTTACAAACTGTAAGACTCATTAAAACATTAGACATTGTTTTTTAAAAAACAAACCAAAAGGAAAATGCATAGGCAACTTGCTCCAGAAGAGCATTTCTGAGTAAGAATTGTATTAACTACACATGTTGGGAGGGGGTCCACGGAGGGTATCTAACACAATTCAACTTAAATGAAAGGAAGGCTGCTATGCTACTGACGAATGAAGATGGGAGATGCTGTAGCACCAGTTTCTTTCTCCTTTATATCAAAACAGGAAGCGTCAACCTCAAGAAAATTAGTTAAAAGATTCACTGAGGCAAAGTTTAAGTGTAGATTCACTAAAAGTGAACCAAATTGATAAAATAATAAGATTACTGAAAGCCTAGGTGGAGTCAGAAATACAAGGGGGCTTCAGAAAGTTCATAGAAGAGTTCCACTATATTTTAATTCCATTTTTCACAAACTTTTTGAAGTCTGCTCATACAGGCATCTGGTTGACACTTAAGGAATGAACAAGGAATGAAGATATGAGTATGAAATGCACTCAGGGTCCAAGCAACCTTAAATAGAGAGGCCAGAAATGAAGAAGGACACGAAGTATGAGAACTAGGTTATACACAACAACCTTCTCCAAAATGTTACCAAAAGTCTTTCCAAAGGGCTTCTATACCACGCAGTCTTTATCAAGAACTGCCACAGGCTATGTCATTAGGATCCAGGGAGTCTAAGGAATCACAGGTTAGCCAATCACAGATGGAAAAACAATAGACTGGTTCTAATCTCACTTATCAATTATACCAGTAACCAACATTTTGCTTTTATAACATCTACTATCTGAAAATTTTTGTGAATAACTGAAATATGTCTGGTAGTAACAAATGCTGACATGAGAGGCAAGAATAATGCTAGCTCTGATAGTTATGGTCAAATGGCAACTTGGTTGGGCTGATTCTCAGCAGTTTGGCAATTAGGTAAATGATGTAATTTGGTAGTTACAGAATGATCTGATACGGTCATTCTCCATTTTGATAGAATGCTAATTTTCAAATACCAACATGGCCTTTGGAACCTAAGCATGTTGCTATGTGAGGAGTGGGTGTAATATTAATTAGAAAACATTTTCCTACCAGTAAAAGAGTCATGCTCTTCAGAACCCTACCCAGAGAAGAAGTGACACTAGAGATGGAGGTAGACACAATGACGTGGAGAGATGGAGTGGCTGGGGACTTTAGACCCAGAGAGGGAGAGGGGCAGGCTTGCAGGGTAAACCCTTTGGTTGGTTGATGATGCATGGAGGGGATTGTAACCATGGCAATGAAACAATATATGACAGGATGAATGTAAACCTAATGTTCTCCCATGTAAACTATCACATAATTCACACACAAAAAAAGAGTCGTGCTCTTACCTCAGAATATTTTCCTCTGTAGCTACTTAAACTCCGTTCCATTCTTCGCAATCTCTGAATTAACTGTTCTTTGCTGAGACTGTCTGAATTCCCTACTGAGTCCTCAGCCTCACTCTCCATATCAGATGGTGGATCAAAGGTGGAAGAAGAACTGTCCAGTTCCAGTCGGTTAAGGGACTCTCTGGAAGATGTTCGTACCAAGGATTCTTTTGAGGAAGATCGGAATAGGGATTCCTTTATCGGACTTCGAAACAAAGATTCCACAGAAGGTACCCGGAGCTGGAGCTTCTGAGCAAAAGACTGTGTATCACCGGCCTGCAACCAAAGCCCAACAAAATATGTGGGTTATAGACTTTTATTACTCCCTAACATCAGCTATAACCTACTATAATTCTAACAAATTCTACTTATATTCCTGATACTTTACATAATACAATACCTTCTGAAAAACAAAACACTTGTTTACTTTTAGAAACGTGCCAGGCCAAGAGTCAAGAGACCTAAGTGTAGTGGCAGTTCTCTCTAGCTGCAGACTAACCTTCTTCACCAACTCATTTTCCTTCAATTGGCTTGTCTACAAAATAGAAGACAGCTATACCTTCCCAGCCAACCTCACAGGTGAGCTGTAAGAATTCATCCACTAAAATGTAAGGTCCCTGAGGGCAGAGACCATTACCAGTGCCTAAAACGTAGCTACATATTGTTGTTCTTGTTTAGTGCCATCGAGTCAGTTCCAACCCACAGTGACCCTGTATAGGGTTTCCAAAGAGGGGCTGGTGAGCTTGCACCGCCAACCTTGTGGTTCAAATTGACTTTGCAGTTCAGCACATTAACCCACAGCACCACACCAGACTCAAAATATCATTTTGTAGTTATTAAGTGCCTTCAAGTTGGTTCCGATCTATAGCGACTCTGTATAGGGCTCCCAAGGAGCAGCTGGTAAACTTGAACTACCGACCTTGAAGTTCAAACTGACTTTGCAGTCCAGCACATTAACCCACAAAGTCACACCAGGAGTCCGTGGCTACATATGAGGGGACTTAAAATAGTTTGGGACTTAAAATATCTTTCTATTCTATTTTCCACAAATTTTTTGAAGCACTTTGTACTGCAGAGGATGCTGTATCTGGAGAGAATAGCTAACTATAACACCCAACACTGGCTGTATCTGCCGGTGTGCCTTCTACAAGTAAAACTAAGCAGAAACACATCATGGAAGACAGAAGACAGGTCGTCTAAGCTAGAGTTTCTGCAGAGATCAGTAAACTTGATTTTAGAAAAAGTGATAATAATTTGAGTAATGACAATAAAATACAACATTACTCAACAAACTTCTAAGCAGAATTAGTTTATCCAGGCAGCAGCACTCAGTATTTAACAGGTGTTTCCTAGAAACTCATTCTTGTTAGTGCAACAACAGGGTCACCTGTGAGGCCTCAGAGATCCATAAAATACTCAGAGGAGACCGAGGTCATGTGCAAGCAAAAGTTACAGGAAAACAAAAAGATTCACTTTAGTATGTAATTTTAAAAATCAAAGACAGAACTTTTTACTTATGGATTTTAGAGATTTAATTACAGTAATAGACAAGCTAGGAGTAAGTAAAGAAGGATAAAACACCTTCACCCTCACCCTCCTATGCGCAAAGAGTTTAATCACCAGTTGTTTAACAGTAAAAACTGGACACAAACCAAATGTGTATCACTAAAGAATACAGTATATAAATTATAGTATATAGAAGGAGGCTCAAGACATACTATCCAATGAAAGGTAATAACATTATGGAATAGTATGTTGTGCATTCACTTTGATTTAAAGTAGTTACACATACTTGTCAATTCATATCTGTTTAGACATACACTCTTAGATCTGGAATGCAAAGGGAAAACTCCCAACAGTTAACAAAGAATTATGTGGTAAGATTTTAGGTGATAATTTGACTGTCAGATTTATACTTTTCTGTACTTTCTGATTTTTTCATAACATGCTAGTTTTACCTTCATAATCAGGGAGTGATGGGGAAAGGAGACATATGGAAAAAGTCTTGAGAGAGAAAGGACCCTCATAGTCAAAAACTTTCAGGACCACTTTACTAATACTCCAGTACCAGTCACTTCTGACCCATGAGAAAATGCTTTTCAGTTCACAATAGACAATCTTCTTATAAACTACACTAAGACAAATAAATGACGTTAGTTTGAACACTAGAAATAGCTGTATTATTTTTGGCTCAGCAAGACGCTAGAAAGCGATTATCAAAGAACATTTGTAGAAGCTGATAAACTTAACTTTCATCCCTGCTATATTTGGAAATGTGATTCATATAAACTTAACTTTCATCCCTGCTATATTTGGAAATGTGATTCAGCACGTTCTACATAATCTTGACCAAGTTACTTAATCTCTTTAGTCCTGTTTTCTCCTCTGTAAATCAGGATGATAAAAAATGATGATGATGATGATGATGATATCCACCTTGAATGGAAAAATGGAATTAAAAGATAATGGAAAATTTCCACCATCTTTTGGAAAACTCCTTACATAAAGTGCTTACAATGTGGCAAGCATTCAGTAAACATCAGAAATTATCCTCATTAGAGAAAGGAGACTAAAAAAGATACTAAAAAACAAATTTACTTTTACCATTTAAAGACGATCACACACAAACTCAGGTGCATGTTTTTATGATGTTAAGCGCTATTTAGACAATGCGATAATTAACAGGATAGGTTGCGAAGCCAGACTATATGACTTTGGGCAAGTTACCTAACCTCTCTGTGTTTCTGTCTAATCATATATAAAATGAGGATAACACCTACCTCATAGGGTAGCTGTAAGGAGTACTGTACTATAATAAAATATGAAATACTTAAAACCATGCTTAGCTCAAGGTAAACATTCAATAAAAACAATCAGTCAACATGCAATCTTTCCTTCTTTTTTTCCCACCAGACCCTAGTTTTGTTCAGGACAACAATAAAGCCCAGTAAAAATATTTGCTTTCCCCCACCCCACCCCCCAAAAAAAACAAATTAAAGCCATAATGAGATGTCTCCACAATCCACCAGATCTACTGTTAGTAAGAAAGTGATCCAACTTACTGTGGAAAACTACTGGTTCATAGCAGACAATCATACTCATGGTAGAGTATTTACTAAAGCTAAATACATGCATACTCTCTGACCTAGCAATTTACTTTTTAAGTAGGTACATAATGAAAGTGTTCAACAAAACAACTAGGAAGTATACTGATCACAATTCAGAATAGCCCCAAACTGGAAATTATTGATGCCTATTAATAATAAAGAAACTGTAATCTGTTCAATGTAATACCAGACAGCAATGAGAATGTATGATTTATAATCACATTAGTTATACTCCAATGAAGCTCGTACAAAATTAAGCAAAGGAAATACGACACAAAAAGAGTACCAGTACCCACCTCTGTTTCTATTTACATAAAGTTCAAAAGCAGGTAAAATTAACCTAAAGTTTCAGAAGTCAAGGCTAGTGGTTACCCTGGGGAGGGGAGGGGAGGGAAGGGAAGGACTGGAAAGGCAGGATGACAGGGATTGCTTTAATGCAGGTAATTTCTGCTGCCTGATTTTGAGTGCTGGTTACAGAGGTGTGCTTGATTTGTGAAATTTTGGTAAAGAGCATAATCTATGCATGACTTTTTGTATCTTTATATATAATGTTTTCTACTGTGAGTTGTTGTTTTAAAATTAGCTTCTCACAGATAGCTTCAGTTCAGAGCGGTGTATAAGAGTTTGGACAGTAATATACAATATAAATGAAAACCTACTGGGTGGAGCCTTTTGGAAATGATATTCATCTTCATGATAAAAAGAAATATTCCTTTTTTGCCTCTGTCCTTTCTTCCTGCCTATGGGAACACTGGTGGGTCAAGTGGTAGAATTCTTGTTTTCCTTTAGAGACCCAGGTTCAATTCTCAGCCAATGCATCTCAACCACAGCCACTAAACAGCTTTCATTGGATGCTTGTTTGTTGCTGTAATGCTGAACATGTGTGAGTAAAGTTTCCACACTAAGATACACAAGTTCCAAAAATTAGCCAGTGAAAGCCCTGGGGTCAGTTCCATTGTACCTGGGGTCACCATGAGTCAGGAGCCAATTTGAAGGCAGCTAAGATCACGGTACTCAAGGACCATGATATATTTGTAGAGCACCTGACATCAAGTTAAGAGGCCTTGGTGGTGTGGATTAGGCGTTAGGTTGCTATCCACAAGGGCAGCAGTTCAAACCCACCAGTTGCTGCTCTGTGGGACAAAGATGAGGCTATCTGCTCCTGTAAAGAATGACAGTCATGGAAACTCTACCTGTGTAGGGTCACTATGAGTCTGAACTGACTTAATGGCTATGAGTTTGGTTTTTGTTTTGCTTTTTGAGGTCAAGTGGGAACACTACTCAAGACCAGAGTCAACAGGTCTAGTGATATGGGCTTTCCGAAAATCTGACTACCCCTTCCTAAACCTTCAAGAATCTCAATTCACAGGTAATGAGCCCATGGAGTTTTGGAAATTTTATTTGTCAGATAATATTTATTGTCTGTCTTAGTTTTTAAGTCATTCAGCTTATAAATCAAATTGTCCAGATTCATGTCCAATGTTCACAGAATTAGAAATGTTACTGCTACACATTAGAAACTACTGAGAATACACAAATAGCCACCTCAGACACTACTTTATCACCTCAGACACTGCTTTATCACCTCAGACACTGCTT